GACCAACACCCACACCCTCAGTCACCCACCCCCCTCACTCCTAGACTCACGTTTCAGTTTGAAATAAAGTATTATTTTTATTTGATAAATTCAGACTGAAATTAAATAGCCCATTGTATGGATTTTTGATATATGAAGACAGATCAATTTCTTTGCTTTGCATTGTCAGATTGATTCCTAAATAATAATCATGCAGAGTATGCTGAAAATTTGTGATGGAAGCTAAATATGGACGAAAAAAAAATCGAAATCACAATGGTATCGTATGTTTTTCATAAGAACCGCAGTATTTTCAATGATTCAGATCTTTTCAATTGTTCTATTTGTATCTTTGGTCTTGTACGAAATAGAATAAAATATTTTCAAACACGTACCAGACTGGTCAAATGCCCATGACCCAAATTTCAAGCTGCAGGAATACGCATCCAATAAAATATAAATATTCATGATAAAATGAGATATGAATCAAAGATTTTTCAGAGTAAGAGACACTTACTAACGGAACCGATGTAATATTGAACGAACAACTTGACTTGAATATTCTTCTCGGAACATACACAATATCTCCGGTATGCCGTATAACCACGTTGATTTTCGTTGGTCTGTCGGACTTCTCATCGACACTTCACAAAAAAGCAATCTGCATTTCTAACAAACATTTTTTCTAGTCCTACCTGTTATACAGAACAATATCGGGAATCCAAATTTTTGTGCTTGGCACCACTATCTGTGTAATGTTACCATAATCTTCCGGGTTCCAGATCAGATAGTAATCCTGCCACGTCTATACATATATGTGAAAAAATATCAACTTTCTCGGTGAACATACCTACCAGTATAACCATGGCATTAGTTGTAAGGACATAGTTCTTCTCGTCCTATTCATATAAAAATACGAAAGAATAAAGCAAAATCGAATTTTAATCTCATTTACAAAGTCAACGATTTGCATAAGACTAAATTTCAAATCGACAGACAGAGCTTCTGAATCATTTTGAACTGGTCGTTCAAGTTTGTTATGTTGCTCTTCAGTAAATAGATCTTTAAGTAAACGCCGTTGATGAGAACCTCCAACTAACATTGACTATGTCTGTTTGTTCAAGAATTATTGCTGACTTACGTGTCGAATTTAATAGAAAACATAAGATAACGACACATATTTTCATTCTTCGTTGTACCATGTTCATACTATTACTTGAAGTCAATAAAAAAGCACGTTTTCTAGAGAAATCTATATTTATCGAAGTGCTATTTTGTCACTAAAGAATCTAAATTATTTGAATTCATGTTAAAACAGGTCTCAAGCTGATAAAACCTCGCAATTCCAAAACGATGAAAAAGAGAACAGCGGAAATATTAAAAAAAACTTTTATTAGTAACGAGGATCAACCATATTCATCAACCATGTATGACTTCAGCATGAAAATTTCTTTCAGTCACTATATTGAATTCTAATGTTAATACAAAGAAATGAACAAATAAAGCACTCACTTATACGTTTTGTTCTGCGTGCTGAGATTACTAGTAAGTGAAAAAGTCCTCTTTACTAAAACGGATGATTTAATGTGAACGAAAAACCAAAACGACTGATTACCAACTACGGTTTTCCTACTTTTTCTGTTTTTTTGTTTTGTTTTATCTTTCGAAGAAGTTCCTTTTTCAGAAAATAGTAGACAAAAACAATCTCAAAACTAACTGGAATCGCTGCTTATGACTTTAGTACCAGGGATTTCTTGAAAACGCTCGGTTCTACAAAAAGATGAACAAAAAAATAGTGTGTTTAAGATAGACACAAGCGATTCCAGTACTTACACGCTAACTTTCTGAGATCAGGCATCATTATTAATGTGATATTCGTCTTATGTATAAACAACAGCGATAGTAGAAAGGTCCTAATAAAGTTTGAATTTTTATCACTTTGTCGTTGATATCTGATGTTTACATGTTTCCCATTAGCACTACGAACCATTCTATACAAGCAGCGTATTCTAAATTGGTACCGCTGAAAGGGAACGCATTGCCAAGCAGTTGATAGATACAAAATCAAGATATTCTCTATTAAAAAGCATATATATCGAGCAAACATTGAAGGAAAATGATTAGTTCTTTAGCATCTGGATGAAAAACAGTTATATTGTATGTAAACAGCTAGAGAATGCGCAGTAGTCATAAGTTTTCTACTGTGTTAGATTATATGTACGAATATGAAAAGGAAGAATGTGAAAAGCATTAAATAGAATCTTTTTTTTAATCACATCCAAAAAGTGAATACGTTTGTTAATACTTCAATATGTT